AATTTATCCATAATAACGTCTCAAGTTTTCAAGATCTAAACTTTAATACACCAAAATGACCTAAATGACCAAGATAACTTGCATGGCTGAAAGGAAGGTAAAATATCAAAACTTTCCTAGTCCACGAGGTCCAAGAAAACATTCTAAACCGATAAAAATGTGTTGGAGTCCAGATCTGAAACACACAATGTTCTTGGGACATATGACATAAATAAATTAAGTTGCCAACTTTATTCTCAACTCTCACTCAAAACTCATTAAAATGGACCAAAACACCAAATACACTTAGATCTTAGATGAAATGCAATAAAGCTTGGAACTTTATAACTTAGAAAGGTCTAGAAGGTAGATGAAAGTTGATATCTTCAATGTCCAATATTCAAGGATCAATCTTTCATGAAAACATTCCTCCAAAACTATAGAAAACTCCAAAAATATAGGAGAGATGGGAGGGGAGGCTTAAATATTTAAAAATGGAGGCTAGGGTTTCTCCCACGGGGTTCTAGATATGATGGAGGATAAGAAAATACTCTAAAATATGAATCCTTACCTTTATATACCTTGAAAACCCTAAAAATTTTGTGGGTTTAGGCTGCATAATTCTCACCTCGTGAGGACTCTCACATCGTGACACATTTCTATCACCTCGTGAGGACGGGTTTTCACCCAGAATAAGGACTTCTCAAAACATGATCTTATTAACCTCTCCCACTTAAACTGGATTTAATCCTCAAAATCCATCTTGGTTAGAATCTTTGAAATTAACGTTAAGACATATTCCACAAGCTCCCACTAGCCCCTTTGAAATCAAGGCATCTATATAGAGAAGTCAAGAGATTACTTGGAAACCTACAACTGCCAACAAACAACCTAATAACTTGAAAATACTCAACCACAACCACGATCCTTCTCTTCCTAACTATAAGGACCAACTACCAGTGAAAACCACTCAAACCAGGAAACTTCTCAAAAACTGAAACTATAACTAACTCCATCAATAAAGCCCCAAAATTGGGAACCCATCAGTCTAAACTCCACAAACCATACTCTAAGATTGATAATCATCCATCGTTGTACCTACCCTTAGTCCCTGACTAGGAACACCACCAAATCACGCAAAAAGAATACTCAAAACATACCAATCATGAATTTCAACCAATCCAAAATTTGGAAGTTGTGCCTAAAATCCTTACATACATACTTGACTTCATGACAAGTCATCACCAACCTACTACTCCCACGAGCATAATCATGGTCCATCCAATATTCTCACATTGCATCCAAATCCCTTAACAGATGAGGTATGAATCCACCTAACAAATCACTCGAGGAGTTTACAACTAACTTCATGAGTTGAGATTTCAAAAACAATACTCAACATTGGTAACCAAACTCCTAATAAAAAGCCCATAGGAAAACGGTTTTCATAACACAAACATTCAACAGGAGACTTCTGATGCATAATTAATACTCTCAACAACCTTTTACCGTCTACATGATCCAAACCAGCTGGTCACCGAGTTTCCCGACTCCCTACAATGCACTAACACCCAAACATGCCAATAAGAATAACAGTCCGAGACCTAAGAGTCTCAATCTAATGAATACCGGGTCCTACCTATATGAATAATACAACCACTGGTTCAAGATACATCATGACACATTCTAACCACTAAAATGATAAGCTCATGGTACTACGCTGATCTTGCCGACATTTCATCATTGGCCTGAAGACTCACGACCAGCACCACAAGGGTCTAAAGGTACTTCAACCATCAACCCAGCGAATTGCAGGAACCCAATCAACATCCCTCTCAACACAACCCGAACCTTACCTTTATATAACGTATAATTCCTTTCACAACACAAGTTGCTACTAATGCAAAACCACACGAAAATATGGTTGCACATGACCAGAGAATGAGATAGGCAGTTGCACTCTTTTTCCAATTCAAGAGCTATAAACCAAATAAGAACCACGCCAATAAGTGCGGACCATACATTCTCGTGCTATCTTTCTCAAACTATATACATCCGTCATGACAATATCTAATTAACTTACCATAGTATACATCCTCAAGAGACCCATAACTAACCCTGTATCTACTATATTCCTATTCCTCTCGACCCTACCCAACATGTGAAGTACCAGTAGATCTAACGAAATAACGAATCTCAATTGTTAACGAAAACATCATCATAAATAACTAAAACAAGATTCCACACCTTGATTGAAAACCAAACAGATCCCACCAATACGCAACTACCTCGATAAAACTTCCAAAGTTATATAGAATGCTGCTAAAACCCTAGTTGGATCAATCCAAATACCAACCCTACCAATGCGACATGCCAAAATTGGATTCTACATAGATCCATAGCCACATTTGAAAATCTAAACAACCCACTCCGACATTCGAACTCCCAATGACCATGTACAACTTACAAACCTGAGCCCGCTATGAAAAATAATTCCATAACCAAATAGTTGAGGGTATACATACTTGGAGGCCAAAAATATACAACATACAATACTTAACGATAGGTTAATGCATCCACTATACAACTTGAAACTTTTGAAGAATCTATGCTATTAACAGTGAACAAAACGATCAACGATCGAGATTGCATTTACAACTAAACCAATGATCCAATACACTACAAAACCAGGACCACATGAAACTAAACATACCAAACTTCAAAGCCGATTGACTGATCAACAAATATCCATCCTAGACTATGGATATAAATTTATACAACGAACTGAAAAATCCCTCAACAACTGATATGCAACCTGGGCGGCCCAAACGCCTCTTGACCTACTTATTGATATTCCTGAAAGGAACCACTGGCTACACCAAGCTCATTATCCAACATCTTCCTGCCGCAAAAACCACTCATACATTCTTGAGCGCATACATCTGATGGCAACTTGCTTTGCTCCCTCGTCTCGACCAATCTTGAACCAAAGTCTCGCAATCCATTCTTCTGAAACCATAAACTCGAACATATTGATGATCCTCCAAGTAGTACACCTAATTTTCCCCCATTTAGGGTTCATACTACCACCAACTGACATTACAAACAGACGAAAACACAAATCGGCTCATCCAGATACATAACATCCCTGAACCTTGGAATGTATAATACGTCACAAGATGATCTTCTCGATATAGACCAAACAACTCAAAGATATTCTTAATCTTTAATGGACACCTCGTAAAATTTTCAATCATAACCGCCTCTAACATTAAGAATCCCATGTGCAATAATTATGACAGTCCATTCATAACATTGATTTTATATCTAGAAACAAATGAACTACCATACACCTCGTCTAGAAATCTCCAACCATCAATTCATCGTGTGGATCATTCATAAATTCAAGAGGCATCATTCTCATAGTCGGGATACATCAAAGACAACAAAAGTTGTCATTCCCGATTCACTTCCTTGATCACTTGAAATAATCAACTAGAACTTGACCCGCCTATATTTCAAAGAAAGCAGAACCTTGATCTCATCTCAAGGAAACCCTACCATAAGAATCCTCTTGTGCATTCCCACACTGTCATAACTGCTGTAAAAAACCACAACCATCTAGCCTCATGCTGGGTGTCCATCCTAACTATGGAAATTACACACCCGCTCCCTCTTTTCCTCTGAATATGGGAATCTAGAGGGATATAATCTCCACCTTTGACAATGAAATCCTAAGCCATTGGTCGATCACTCAACATCATTCTGCAATGTGCAATTTCATGGGTTAACATCAAATTTACATTTTTCCTAAAGTAACTAACATTTGAGAATTTATAAAAGCGTTTAGTTACTTTGTATTTCATTATACTTATAATGAAAGTTTGTGTCCTATCCTACCCATTTGGATAACAACCCTCCACTAGTCAAGGGTGCGGTGGGTAAGAGTAGATACCCAATGACGGTCATTTTATTGGCCGCTTCCTTAAACATCCCTTATAGATCAGCTTTGTGAATGAGGCTTACTAACGGTCATACTGACCTTTTACTTATACATATATAATATATTAGACTTTTAATTTTATATAGTATAAGGGTGTATTTTACACATTTAAAATACTAAGTGATTTAATCTTTTAATAAATTAATCTTTTAACTTTATTAAATTTAAACCTATATATGGAATTATTAATTGTCCTTTAACTAAAACACTTAATTATTTATTTAATAAAATCCATGTGGTCGTATTTTAAACTATTCAAAATACCAAGATTCTAAATTTAAGATTTCAAAATTAAAGCTATTTAATCAAATTTTAAATTATAAAACCGTGATGTGCACATTTGAATTTTTTTTTTCAAAATACTTGGGTTTAACCATTTAAAATTTCAAAAATCAAAACTTTTAATTTCAAATTTAAACTATAAAACCAAGAGGGTGTATTTTAAAACTTTTCAAAATACTAAGGTTTTACAATTTTATATTTCAAAATTAAAACTTTTAATTAAATTTTAAATTCCAAAACTTAAAGGGTGTAATTTGAAACTATTCAAAATTCTAGATTAAATATTTGAATCAAAATAATAAAATATTATCTTAATTTAACCAAATCTTCAAATTTTGATAAGGATATTTCATACTAATAAGAAAAATCGAATTTAGGCATTAAAAACGAGTTATGATAATTATCCAAATCAAAATCTTACCAAAAAATCGAAAAATTTGGCACCAGACAAGTCAACTCGTCAAGTTGGGCAAGGAATTTGTCGAGTTCATCCAACTCATTAAGTTGTATGATGGACTCGTCGAGTCTGGCTGCCAGACAACAAAAAAAATTGATTTCTTGTTCTTTTGGTTGTTTACTCTTGCATCTGTTCAATTGAAAAACATCCTAGGCTCTAATACCACTGATGGGTTTTGAGCATACCCTATGAACTATCATACAATTTTCGAAATTCACATATGAAATTAGGGTTATGAATTTACCTTGATTGTTATATAGTAATAACAAGTATAATCATTGCTTGATCTTGACTTTGAAAGCCTAGTGCCCCAAGTGTTACATCTAATGGGTTTATTTCCATTGCATAAGGCCAAAATCCTTAGTCAAAGGGGGTTTATATAGTTGGGGAAATTAGGAGGTTCAGGTGGAAACCCTTAATTTCCTTGCTTAGGCCGTAAGCAGTCCATAGACCTCCATAATAAAAGCCTTGGACGAATTCTATAAGGCCTCCTATAGATTTCGTCCAGTCCTTTGATAGGAGTCCATCAGTCCAACTTTGCAACTGTCAATGATTTGCAGAACCAGTCCCTCCATTATTAATTAGTTTCTTTAATCCCAAAATTAATATCAAATTAATTTCTGCTTAATTACTAATTTATAATATGATTTCCAAATAATATATTAATAAAATCATTCTGAGTAGCAATTTATTATCCACATAATAAATCCTACTATTTCTCTCCACTAGTCATCCTATCAAGTTGCATGAGTAAAGGCAACCCAAAAGGACCATGCTCATAATCAAATCAAGTACATATCGAATATAGTTATGAGCTTAGATACCTAATCCAACATGTGGAACATTACAAAACCTACGCCTAAATTTGTTCAAAGTTGAGCCCAAATTTACCTAGTAAGATGTGCCATGATAATTACATATATAAAGACCAAAAGTTCATCTCACCAAAAAATATTAAAAACCATAATCAATCAAATATCATTGGTTGTTGTTCATTTCTTCCTTATTTCTTGAAGACCTTCCTCCTTAATCCTAACTTTGTTATTTTTTCTGTTTATTATTGTAACAAGTTCCTCCACTTAAACATTTGCATTAGGAACTTTCTCCACATGAACAATTGCATCATGTTCCTCTACTTGAATTGCTTCAACATGAACCTCCACTTGAGTTGCTGTAACAAGAACTTCCACTTGAACATTTGTATCAGGAACCTCCTCCACATGAACATCTGCATCAAGTTCTTCAAATTGAACGACTTCAACATGAATCTTTACTTGAACTGCTGCAATAGGAACCTCTACTGCAACTGTTGCAATAGGAACCTCCAACATCATTCACAACATTAAAAGGAGGGATTAATTGAAAATACATGTTTACCATTGGTTAGTGATCAATTTGATAGAATATAGGGAAAAGTATGAAAATTGATAGGAATTTTAACGAAATTAAATGAAGAATTGAGAAACTCAGGATCAAAGAGCCTTGGTATAAACTAAAGGTCCATGTTTTATCAATGAAAGATGCATACATAGTATTTGAATTAGCAATCAAATAAGTTGAAAACAAATAATAGGAAGCAAATATGTTACATAATGACTCAAATATACGAAAGGCTATAAATATTTTTACTACGATATGAAGATAACTATTGATACGTGAAAGTAATGCTATAAATACTTTTACAACGATACGAAGAAAACCATTTAATTATCTATAAGTGAAAATACCTAACTGATTTGACGTACTAACTGTTAGGGGTGTAAACGAGCCGAGCCGAGCCCGAGCCTGACAAAGCTCGAGCTCGACTCGTTTAATTTGAGGAAGCTCGAGCTCGATTCGAGCCTTAAAATGAAGCTCGAGCTCGGCTCATGAACAATTTAGTGGGCTCGCGAGCCTAATCGAGCCTAAACGAGCCTCTATGTGTGTGTGTGTGTGTATATATATGTGTGTTATATATATATATGTGTGTGTGTGTGTATGTATGTGTGTGTGTATATATATATATATATATATATAGAGGCTCGTTTAAGCTCGTTTAGGCTCGCGAGCCCATTAATTAAAGCTCGGCTCGAGCTCATTAAATAAACGAGCCTCATATTTAGGCTCGAGCTCGGCTCGGGCTCGTTTAATTCGATCTCGAGTCGAGCTTTTAACGAGTCGATCCGAGTAGCTCACGAGTAGCTCGGCTCACTTACACCCCTACTAACTGTCCATTTATGGTGTTCCATAAAATTAGTTCAAAGTAATTAAAATGGGATGATATCACAAAATAAACTAAGTGTTGAATACATAAGGTACAACGAGGCACATAATCACTGGTTGTTGGTGTGGTCGTTGGTGGGATGGCTCATTAATTCCATGCCCTAAAACATTTTCTTCATTCTAATAGTAATTGTAAAATCATTTTCTTTGCCTTAACAAATATTTATATTTAATAAATAAAAAATAAAAATTAAACATATTTATTTTAAATTAAACATATTTATTTTCGGCCTCCTGGTATTTGGGACGAGGTACCTCACATTAAACTTTTTTTTTATAAAAATACATCCTACTTGGAAATGGACCCCCCTCATGTTAGGGGGACACCCCTAAAGACGATACTCTCAGATATCCATGTTCTTTGTTATCACATACCCTATGTTACTTTCGGTTGTATCTAACATCATTTGTAAAAAATGGTTTGAAGCGTGTTATGAAATCTTAGTCTTAAAAACAAAGTTCCTACTATAGTTAGATTCATGTAAATTCATTAACCGATAAGATTGATTTGGTTCCAATAATAGTGAAAAAAATGTTCACCCCACAATTGTCTATTCGGAACATATTCTATTATTATAACAACCATACATAAAAGGAATGAGGAATTTAGCACGATTCTATTAAATATTTCACTTTCAACTTTACAAATGATTTACTGTTGATGATAACAAGGCATTATTAGATTCAGCAACTAACATAAGAGCTATTAGAACATCTACATATGTTTAATGTTGATGGTAACAAGACATTACTAGATTCATCAATCAATTAACATAAGAGTTATTAGAACATATACACTGTAGAGTTTAATGGAATGATACATAATTTAATAAAAGATTTGAATGATATGGAATGTCTAATTGATATTTAATTGATTAAACTCAATTATAATGAAATGTTACATTGACGTTCAATGTAGTTGAAGTTTAAGGAGCATTAAACTTTCTAAGGAAAACATTTTTAAGTATATAAAATAAAATTTCCATTTAATTATTATATAGGTCAATGCACTGTATAGACTATAGAATAAATGATAAAGTTTAATGATATAATCCTTAGACAAACAATTTGGTTATAATCTTATTAGACAAAATTGCAAAAATGGTCCTTATGGTTGGCAAATTTATGTGCTTTTAGTCCAAATGAAATGTTGGTGCACCACTGGTTCAAAATTAAATATTTCTATTGTTTTTGGTCCATATACACTTAAAATGACAGTTATGCCCTTATAATTTATAATTTTTATTTTCTTCAATTGTTGAAATACATAAACTAATTTAATTTATATCTTTTTATCTTAAAACAAAAAAAATAAAAACAATAACTCATTCCCCACTCTTATCTTAAAGAAGCCCTTGATCATCGGCTCCACCCTCATCACCGATATCTGGAACCACCATCATCAACCATAATTCTCGCTGGAGTCCACCTAGATCGCAACCACCACCACCTTTTCTAGAGACCTGGTTACTAGAATCCCTACCCCACTACCACCACCATTCGCTTGCATCGATAATGCTAGAAACCTTCACATCCCACCGATCTATTCGTACATTGGGGATAGAGTGATGAACTGGGTCAACAGAGACTTCGGGGGAATTCAAACCCAAATCGAATCACCTACCAAACATGGAGCCTTCGGTGATGGGAGATCGATTGTTAAAGATGATAAAAAAAATTAGGTCAAGACCTCTTCTTTACCCACCACCAGCCGACTGCCACAACCAAACAACCTCCACCAAGCTTCACTAGACCGCCATCACCGCCAAGCTTGGTTTCACCTTGTCCAACTTGTTCCACATTTGCTTCCTTCTGTCTACCATCACCATTAAATCAAAGACCATCACAGCTTCCCCAACTCCATATCCAACGACAAGCAATCGATTCAAGTCTTACTCTCAGCCGCTCTCTACTCCACTACGTACCCTACCACTGCAAGCTCATTCCTCTAAAATCTATTGAACCCTCTTGCTCTCTCTCCTCTCGTTCTCTACTCCACTACCTACTTTTAATTTTGGTTCTTGAAACAAGACTGAAAATGATTTTTGGATTCGATTTTAGAGGAGAATTTAAAATGAGTACTTCAGTTTTGGATTTGATTTGGGGATTTAAGTTCGTTTAGGGCAGCACCATCTTGAAGGCATATGAGATAGAGGTATCATAGATGTAGGAACCGGAAAATGTCCTCCATCATAAAAGGGTGGTCCGATGAAGTCATGCCGATGAAGCTAGTGTTCCAGAAGGTATGGTTGTGGTGTTGTGAGTTTGATTTTGTTTTGGTGGTGGAGGTTCCTTTTGGGAGGATGACATACAAAAAAAAGAAAAGAAAAGAGAGAGAGAGAGAGAGAGAGAGAGAGAGAGAGAGAGAGAGAGAATATGTGTGTGTGTGGTGGGTTTATTTTGTTTTCGTTTTTCATTTTATCATAAGAATAAAAAAATAAATAAAAGAAATTAAAATATAAGTATTTAAGGGACATATTAGTCATTTTAGGTGGGATGTGGACAAACAACACAAGAAAATACAACCATAGGGATCAAAACCACACAAGTTATCTAAAATTAAACCAATGGTGTCCAAAAGCACATAAATTTGCCAATGATAAGGACTATTTTTGCAATTTTGTCATCTTATTATGATTAACTATTTAACTTACACGATCTTCAACGACAAATCATCCAATGGCTGTGTATATCATAGAAAGATTTTGAATATCAGTGTTTCATTATTGTCAACTATTTAAAAAGTGACGGTGTTTATTGTACGTAATTTGTGTACTAAAGTATTCATAATATATTATACATATTACCCTATTTTGAACAGGTGAAACAAGTTCAATGGTCAAATATGAACGAAAAAAACATGGTTATCTAAATGTGGATAAAGACCAAAGTTCGTTACCCTTCTAAATCATTAACTCCATGATATATTTATTATTTTCAGTTTATCCCTTTTAAAAAAAATCATTCTCTTGCCATGACTAATATAGTAATATTCATTTATTATAATCTCTTACTGACTTTTCCTATGCATAATTTTTCCTCACATGCATCCACTTGATGTAATATACTAATTACATGCATAATCTCCGGATTGCTAGTTGTTTTAGTGTCAATTAATTAAAGGGTAGTTAAATCAACCATTAAGAAAAAAAAATTATGATTTAGTCAATCATGCTTTTTATTGACGTTCTCCTCCATTAATCCAATATCGTACTCTTCATCATCTCTTTTCTCTTCTATAATAACATGGGGTTCTGGTAGAATGTAGATAATACATATAATTTAATTCAACCTCGTGGCTGCATCAAATCCTGTGGATCGCGACTAACAACTCACAACAAAAAGAAACCTTTAAGAACACGATTGATATCGTTCAGTTTCCATCCATATTGTGAACCAGCTGGTTAGAATTATATTTTAAGTACTATATCCATTTGCATCTGTATATTCAATATCTGTTTCTATCCGTTTCTTGTAGATTAAGTTGATTGTTAAGCATCTGATTATGTGCAGGGAACTTTCATTCTGATTCTCGGCTTTGTTACGATGGTATACTCATCTTCACGTTCTGCTCACAGATGGACATACGATGTGTTTGTTAGTTTCAGAGGGGAAGATATCCGTAAAACATTTGTGGGTCATCTATTCAGTGATTTCAGAAGGAAGGGGATTTATGCTTTTCGAGACGATGATCAGTTAAAGAGAGGAGAAGATATATCACCTGGACTCTATAAAGCCATTGAACAGTCAAGGTTCTTGATAGTTATATTCTCAAAAGACTACGCATCGTCAACATGGTGTCTGAGGGAGCTTGTTAAGATCCTCAAGTGTAAGGAGATGGACGATGGATATGAAGTTCGGGTGTTGTACTACGATGTGACACCTGAGGTGGTAGGGAATCAAAGGGGTAGCTACGAAGAAGCGTTCGTGAAACATGAGGGTTATCATAGAAAAGAGGTCCATGAATGGAAGGAAGCTTTAACTTGGGCTGCTGACAACTTATCTGGATGGGATCTCCAAGCTTTGTCTAATGGGTAAAACCTCTATTCCTCCATGCTTAACTTATTTTATATACACTATATAAATTAAATTCGGTAAGAATTTTTTTAGTAGGAAGGTATCGGCATATTAACTCGTATTAATAATAAAACCATTAGATAAAAACAGATATTTTAACATTTTAAAGATAACTTTTTTTCACTAAGTTATAATATGTTAATATTGAGTGTTTAATTCCTAAAATATATAGATTATAAAATTTTGTTAAAAATAATGGGATAAATTTACAAAAGAAAAGTTAAATTTTAAATACTATATTCAAATTTGAACTCACAATCAGATATCTTTTAGAAATTTATTTGTTTCGTATTTACACCGTTTATTTAAGAATTTATATATATTGGAAGTTTTTGTTAGTATGAGTGCGAACGGACACATCATGTTTGTTATGTTTGACCAATCATGTATAAATGTAATACAATCTTTAAATTATTTAAAATCAACTTGTAATTACCCTTGCATCAATTCTTTATATTTTTTAACAAAATTTTTATTATTTATGTAGCATCTCTAGCACATTTTATTTGTTTTTAGATTTTAATAGGATTTTTTTTTTTTTTTTTTTTTTTTTTTTTTTTTTTTTGGAATGGACTTAAAACCCTTAAATTTAAAAAGAAAAGACAACACCTAATATCGTTTGAGAAACAAAATCGCTTTTTAGATTAAATATTTAATTAACTACATCAAATACAACTACTAAAATACTAAAATATGCAATGTAGCCTTCACAACCTTAAACAAATTATATGATGACGCAAGCAAGAAAATAATTATATAATGACTTGAGACAAACTAAACACTTATTTACGTAATATATATATTTTTTAACAATTTATTGAACAATGTAATTGTAACAAATTATACTAATATTTTAATCATGTTATATTGTTATATGTTTTATATGAAATTCGGGGTAAGCATGGTGCAGTTCGATACGAGTTTTGGACCAAACTGAACTGCAAACTGCATTTGCGGTTATTAAAATTGAAAAACCGAAATTTACGGGGTTTATGCGGTTCGGTTTTGGTGTTTTTTTTCCCGATTTTGTGGTTATTTCGGTGTGATTTTTGTTTTTAAGTGCAAAATGAGTTGATACAATTTTACTGTTAAAATTGTATTGTTAAATGGTACGGTTTTTAATGTTCGCCTGTAGGCTAAACAAGGCTTCATGCGCCACTTGCTGAGTGATGCACATATATGAAGGTGTATATAATAAATCATCCATGTGGGATTAGTTCCCAACCTAAATGCTAGACACCATTCTTCTTTCATTTTTTTTTATCTATATTAGTTATGTTTTTTTAATTAATTACACAAACATATATACATCACCTAATTAAATAATTACACATAACCTTTCCATTTGTTTCTTTTAATTGGTTTTATGCTTCAAGATAAAATATGTTATAGATTATTCATCAAAAGAATTTATACATCGATTAGTTTGAGATACTTATCATTTTATAATCAATATAAACTACATATATATACCAAGTTAAAATTATATATATATATATATATATATATATATATATATATATATATATATATATATATATATATATATGAGGTGCGGTTCGGTTTTTTGGGTTTTTTGCAAAACTAAAACTGCACCGCATCAAAAGTTTTTGGTTTTTGTAAAACTAAAACCGCAGCGTTGGTTTTTGTTTCGGTTCAGTTAATACGGTTTTTTTTTTTGGTTCGGTTTTTACTCACCCTAGATGAAACAATATGGTTCATTCATGTTCATGTACTTCGTTTGTTACATTAATTAAGAAAAATAAAAATATCTTCGTTTAACATGTGTTTATTGTGTGTGATCAACTATATCTTCATCTTAGCAAAATGCAATAAATAGCAACGAAGTTTTATTTTATTTATTACTAAACCACCAGGTTTCAAAAATCAATATTAGAACCATCATATATTCATATTTAAGAGTATCTAAGACTCGGTATTATGTACGTAATGTCACACAATTAACAATCAACATATCGTTATATTTCATAAATATTTTTTCATTATCTATAAACTTTTTGTAAGTTTATAAATGAATTCACATGCTTAGTTGTATACTTATTTAACATATATTTTTTTCATATGCAATCATAAGATAAAGGAAAAAAGGCCTTATCTTCTTATTATAAAACATATTCATTGATCTTGTTTATAAGCTAAGAAATTAAACACATAATAAAAATTATTAAAATGTATATTTAATATGTATATTTTGTATAAATGTACTTATACATGTAATAGATTAACACATTAAAATAGTATTTAATTTCTATAATGATTAAAATTTTAAGTAAAAAATGACAGCTATTATAATAGAAAGAAAGGAAGTGAAATATAAATGTAAGTTAAATGTAGGGTCCAACCTTTCGAGCCAAAGAAGTGGTCAATGCCGCATATTCAGTTATGCATGGACCAGAAGTGGTGACAAAAGAAATATTAGTGGTGAAAATGATATCGAGAAATTAAATAATTTCCTCTACATTTTCTCTATGATTATATGGTACAAAGTTTCGACTATGAATATGCTCTAAAGTTTCCTAAACCATTGATGGCAAGAACCTTTCACATTACAAAAAATAATAAATTTTAAATTATGATGACTAAATTAGAAATGAAGTAATTAAAAGTAAGTTTCTATTCATTGCATTATGTCCGTCGTTAACGTTTTAGATACAAACTTCCATAATAAAGTAATTGTAACTATTGTTGTTTCATGGTTTTGTATGTAGGCCTGAGCCAAAGTTTATAGAAACAATCTCAAACGAAATATTTCATAAACTAACAAGCACCGGCCCAATAGACGCCGGCGACAACCTGGTTGGACTATACACCAGGGCGGAGCAAATGGATCTCATGCGGTTCGTTAATAAGCGTAAATCAACCAAAATTCACCTGATTGGAATATGTGGAATTGGTGGAATCGGAAAAACCACAGTCGCCAAAGCCATATATAACCTCCTTCATACACACTTCGAAGCATACAGTTTCTGTGAAGACGTTAAAGGTGTTGAAAAACGTCACGGTTTAGTCCATCTACAGGAAAAACTTCTCGCTAATCTTATGAGCCTAAGCGATCTCAAAATACGGAATGTAAGTCAAGGCATTGGGATGATGAAAAGAAGTATGTGGGCTAAAAGGGTGCTCATTGTGCTTGATGACGTGGATAATCTTGACCAATTCGAAGCTCTAGTGGGCTCACCTTCTTGGTTTAGTCCCGGAAGTATGATTATATTTACTGGTCGAGATCGACAGTTGCTTACTGCTCATGGAGTTGAGGAAATATTTGAGGTTGATCTTCTTTGTGATGATGAAGCTCTCGAGCTATTTAGTCTCTACGCTTTTCGAAACAAGCATCCCAAAGAAGAATTTATTGATCTTTCAAACGAAGTGGTTCGCTATGTGAATGGACTCCCGCTTGCTCTTAAAATTCTGGGTAGTTTTCTATTTGGAAAAACGGTGGAAGAATGGGGAAGTCAACTGAAGAAACTCCGGCGATATCCTGATTCTCAAATACAACAAGTGCTCAGAATAAGTTATGATGGGCTCGATTTTGATCAGAGAAACATCTTTCTTGATATATCGTGTTTCTTCAAAGAAGAAAAGAAAGATTATGTTATCAAAGTGTTGGGTGGCTGTGATTTGTTTCCGGTGACTAATATTAGAGTTCTTATTGATAAGTCATTGATATCGATTCGTGATGATAGATTGCAAATGCATGATTTGGTTCAAGAAATGGGTTGGCGAATTGTTGATGAAGAATCGGAGGAGCCTGGGAAGAGGAGCAGGTTGTGGTTTACGAAAGATGTACGTGATGTGTTAAACAAGGATAAAGTGAGTAAGCCATAAGGGTCTTTCCCTTTTGAATTTTATGATTGAACATTTTTTTTTTTAAATAATGAATTTTCACTCTAATAATGTCTAGGGGACCGGAGCTGTTAAAGGTCTAGCCATGGATGTTTCAAGTTCAGAAGTTGATATTTATGGTAAAACCTTCACAAGATTGAATAATCTTCGATTGTTGAACCTTTATATTGGATCGTGGACTAGACTTCTAGACAACAATGGAAAAATACGTGAGACAAAATTGGGGATAGAAACCAAGGTGCATGCAACTTCCGGAAAGCTTGATTTTTTGTCTAGCGAACTACGGTTGTTTTGTTGGCATGGGTACCCTTTCCACCATTTACCATCATCGTTTTATCCCGAGAGCCTTGTTGTCCTTGATTTATCGTATAGTTACATCAAAGAAATTTGGACCGGATCCAAGGTACACTCATCACAATTCTTGTATATGTCAATATGTGTGTCTTCATGTCGTTCTGCGTACCACTAAAAATGGAAAGCATACCAAAAGCTTAAAAATGAGCTATTTAAAAAAAATGATGGTTTGATATTTTGCTTTTAAAAAACCCTAAACTAGATTTTGATTTTTTGGTTTGAAAATTGAATCGAGATTTAAATACAAAGTATTGGGTTGAGAATAAATAGCATAATATAATGAGTGAAGTAATGAAATGGACCATTATATTCAATTGTCATGTTCAAAAGATATATCATTAAGTAAATTACATATACGCATAATTTATTTTGTTCAAAATAAATGTTATATATTTTTTTCATACGGTAAAAAAATAAAGAATTTTCTATGATATAAAAAATAGCTACCATAAAATCTTGAAATACAATTACAATAGAAAATATATTATTTAAAAACTAAATAAAAATTTTAATTATATTTTTTAATTTTTAAAAAAGATAATATTATTAAAAATTATAAATGTAAAAGTAATTTTTATTATAGTGTTTATGGTATGATTTCCTTCCCCGTAGGAATATTAAAAAAAACATCACTCTTCCGTCCAATAAAAACCACTACAAAAAAAAAGTAATCATATTTCATGAGAAATCATTCATAATAAAAATCAATACAGAAAAAGTAATCATATTACTTGAGAAATCATTCATTTTATTATTTAAGTCAACTACACATAGATTTTTTTCATTCCGCCTAATCATTCAATTTTGAATTATTGCATAAATGCTACAAAAGTTTCTTAGCGGATTAATGATTTAATATATTTCCAATTTTGATAATTGATTGCCTAGTTTCTGTTAGGTATATTTTTCTAAAACTTTTTTTTGCCATTAAATATTGTAAAATGCAACGAACAATTTCTTTCATATTTCATTGATTTTAAGTATAACGGATCCATATATTCTTCTATATTCATTGCATTGAAAAACAAAAAATTCAAGAAAATGAAAAATATATGGTTGAATGCAAAATCCAAACAACCAAACAACCAAACAAAATCAACTTTCTAAGGCTAGAAATCAATTTTTTCCGTTTAATTTCCGCTTTATGCAAAAACCTAGAAAAATTGAACCAATATTCCATTATATGTTGTAATTTGTTTTGGTTTTGGTTTTGTTTCATACATAGGGCTTTAAAAGGTTGACATCGATGAAACTTGCTCATTGTCGTAACTTGATAAAGACACCCGATTTCACTGAAACCCCGAATCTTGAAGAGCTGATACTCGATGGTTGTAAAAGTTTGAAAGAAGTTCATCCATCCGTTGGAACACTCTGGAGTCTCCTTATCTTAAATTTAAAAAGATGCATAAACCTCGAAACTCCTCCAAACTGCATCGGATTGAAATCTCTTCAAATCCTCAATCTCTCGGGATGTAAGAAATTGGATCAGTTCCCCCAAGATCTTGACATAATGAAAGATTTAATCGAGCTTCATGCGGATGGAACTTCAATCGACCAACTCCCTTCTTCAGTATCAATCCTTTGGAACCTTCAAGTACTTTCACTAGGCCAACGAGAAGACATGATCAAAACACGATCACTGGGTTCGATCTTTTGGCCTTTAAGTAAGATGCATCATCCACCGAATGCAGCAATAGTTCCTTCTTTATCGGGTTTAAAGATGTTAAGAAACATTGATGTTAGCCATTGCAGAGTAACGGATGGAAGCCTTGGTGGAATTGAAGGCTTATCGATGCTTAAAATGTTGAATCTGAGTGGGAATGATTTTAAAAGTTTGCCGAATTTGGGGAAACTTTCAAGACTTGAAACGCTTGGATTGGTTGGTTGTACAAAGCTTGAAGCATTGCCGGAACTTCCACCGAATATTGAAGTGATCGAGGCACAGGATTGCATATCGTTGAAGGAATTGCCGAAGAAGTCGACTCTGTATGAAAGTAGCTTTCAAAGCTTTGACTTCACCAACTGTGCTAAAATCATCGAGAATCAATCCATCGAAAGCCTGATTACCATGTTGCTGCCACAGGTTTGTCCATTTTCCCAAAATTTCTAAATAATTCTATCACATGACACTCATTTAAATCCTTTGAAATTGATAATGTATTTGCAATCTTATATGTTGTAGGGACGCATTGATCCTTACAAGATGCTAAGTGTCCACCTTCCAGGAAGTAGAATACCTGGGTGGTTTACGCATCAAACAATGGGAGATTGCATAACAATAGAATTACCTCAAAATTGGTGTTATGAAAACTTCAAGGGAATAGCATATTGTCTGGTTTTTACTCCCAAAATCCACAACCGTCGGAAGAGTAACTACAATTCAATCGGGTATCGATTCAAAAACTTCGATGGTACTCCGATCGGAGTGGAGTCTCCTATTCCCGATTCTATATTTCAATACGAGAGCATCGGAATCAAGACGGACCAGATGTTGTTGAGCTATGACGCATCGAAACCAGATTGGAAAAAAGCAAAGAATTCAATTTCGGTTTTTTTTGAAGTATATGGTGCAGATTGTGTGGTGAAGAAGTGTGGTGCGAGATTGGTGTATGAGGAAGACGAACGAGAACAAGAAGAAGGTAGCGGTTCACGAATGATTCAATGGCTGGCTCCATCTTCTCGTGTGGAAGACGAGCTTCTGATATCACAGGGGGGTGACTCTTGATTTCTTGAATGTGACATGGGCCTAGTCAGCCCAACATTCGGCCCACAAATTAGTTTTGAACATAATAATGTTTAATTGTTTATAACGCTCCGTCCTCTTTATTAAATTGAACTTCAATTATATATACTAGAGAAAATTACAAAAATGGTTTCTATAGTTTGCTAAAATTCACAAAGTCAGTTCCTGTTAATTTTTTTTTGACGATCATGGTTCCTGTGGTTTCCAAAACTTGCATCAATGACCCTTTTTGCTGACGCCGTTACTGTTCATCCGTTAGTGTAAGGACATTTTGGTCTTTTCAAGTAGTAGGGACTGGGTTTGTGATTATGGGTAAACCATAGGGACCACTTATGTATTTTTTTTCTATATTTTATGTTTATGAGTTTGTGACTTTTCCACCTATTTACTTTTTAAAATATCACTTTGAACCCTTCACTATGAACTTTGAAAAATGTTACTTTCACCCCTCTATTTTCTAAATTTTCGTGTTTAACCCCGTATTATATATAATTTGTTTTTTTATTAATAACTTTTGTTCACTAACCTAAAAACACTATTTTTACGTGTTTATTTTCATATATTTGTCGGTATAATTCAAGGTGATTAACGTTTCGACTATAATTTAGAACTTTCTTTCGTTATTTTTTTTAAAGTTACATGGTTTTTTTATAAAATTGTCGGTTTAAATTCGAGCTTATTTTTCGATGTAGTTTTTTTATTATTATTTTTTATTTTTTATTTTTATTTTTATTTTTTTAACTTTATGTACGTTTCCTACGTATGAGACGGGTCATATATAATAACTTTCATTTGTTAATTTTAAAAAATATATTATATTTGAGATTGTCTATGTTTTGATGTATTTTGTATACATGTTGTGCTTAATTTTATATACATTCCTACGTATCATTTGGGTCATATATAATAACTTTCGTTTGTTAGCTTAAAAAAATGTAGTATATTCGAGTTTGTCTATGTTTCAACCTAACTTTTGTTTCATGTTTTTTACGTATCAATATAGATTCGAGTTCGTCTATATTTCGACGTAATTTTTTTTATGTTTCGTGCTTATTTTTATGTACGTGTTTTTTTTCATTCATGTTTTTTTACGTCGAAATGCAACTTTTATGATTATAATCACCAAAATTCAACTTACAAAATTCAAACTTATAATTACGTTTTTATCTATTATATGTAAACAAACTTATACGTAGAAATATACATAAAATAAGCACCAAAACGTTTTGCGAAACATATTTTTTTAACGTTTTCGTGCTTTATTTTCTGTACGTTTCCTACTTATGATTAGAGTCACATATTATATATTTTTTATTATTTAAACTTTCGTTCGTTAACTTAAAAAAATCTTACTTATTTTTATGCACGTGCTGATATAAATTTGAGTTTTTCTTTTTCTTTATTTTTTATGTTTTGATTTAATTGTTTTTGTACGTTTTGGTGCTTATTTGATGTATGTTCCTACGTATAAGTTTGTTCATAGATAATAGATAAACGCGTAATTATAAGCTTGAATTTTGTAAGTTGAATTTTGGTGATTATAGTCATAAAAGTTGCATTTCGACATAAAAAAAAAACATGAATGAAAAAAACACGTACATAAAAATAAGCACGAAACATAAAAAAAATTACGTCGAAATATAGACGAACTCGAATCTATTGATACTTAAAAAACATGAAACAAAAGTTAGGTTGAAACATAGACAAACTCGAATATACTACATTTTTTTAAGCTAACAAACGAAAGTTATTATATATGACCTGAATGATACGTAGGAATGTATATAAAATGAAGCACAAAATGTATAAAAAATACATCAAAACATAGACAATCTCGAATATAATATATTTTTTAAAATTAACAAACGAAAGTTATTATATATGACCCGTCTCATACGTAGGAAACGTACATAAAGTTAACAAAAAACTACGTCGAAAAATAAGCTCGAATTTAAACCGACAATTTTATAAAAAAAAACATGTAACTTTAAAAAAAATAACGAAAGAAAGTTCTAAATTATAATCAAAACGTTGATCACCTTGAATTATACCGACAAATATATGAAAATAAACACGTAAAAATAGATTTTTTAGGTTGGCGAACAAAAGCTATTAATAAAAAATAAATTATATATAATACGGGGTTAAACACGAAAATTTAGAAAATAGAGGGGTGAAAGTAACATTTTTCAAAGTTCAAAGTGAAGGGTTCAAAGTGATATTTTAAAAAGTAAATGGGTGGAAAAGTCACAAACTCATAAACATAAAATATAGAAAAAAATACATAAATGGTCCCTATGGTTTACCCATAGTCACAAACCCAGTCCCTGCTACTTGAAAAGACCAAAATGCCCATACACTAACGGATGACCAGTAACGACGTCAACAAAAAGGGCCATTGATGCAAGTTTTGGAAACCACAGGGACCATGTTCGTCAAAAAAAATTAGCAGGGATTGACTTTGTGACTTTTGGCAAACCATAGGGACCATTTTTGTAATTTTTTCTAAATACTATCTAACATGAATGTGCCGATTCATAAACAAATAGAAGAGAAACAAGAGAAATAAATGATTCAATGATCTGATCAAATAATATTATTATGGTTCGAGAGAAAATAACAGTATCTACTCGGACACTACAGTGGAAGTGTGTTGAATCAGCAGCAGACATTAAGCGTCTTCTTTATGGGCGCTTTATTCTGTCTCCGCTGGAATATCGAACTAGGAATTGAAAGACTTTCTTTCTTTATATACGAGATATAGACTATCTCTTTCTTTATTCGATTCTTTTTCTGAAAAGGTCAAGCAGACACAATAGGCATTGCTATGCGAAGAGCTTTGCTTGGAGAAATCGAAGGAACATGCATCACACGCGTAAAATCTGAGAAAATAGTATACTGTGGAATTAGAGAATAATGATTTACTAGGTGTAAGACCCGTGTATTACACGGGTTGATTAATAAAATATTAAATATCAAGATATTAGAAAAATAAAAAAAATGGTTATGAGGGTTTAAGAGGTAGTTTTATACTCTTTCCAGTAATATTGGATGAAATTCATATAGAACATAAATAATCTCCAACACAAGTTCATTTTGATTCATTCACATTCTGTTTTGGAAAAGAGATATGTTTAGAGGAAATTACTTCACAAAATATTCATTGTAATACTAACATCTCAACAATATATATTACGTCCTTATAAGAAGTATTGATCATTTTGGTGACTAATCACTTTTGCACCTATCTTTGTAAAAAAACATTTAGACTAATAGGAAACAAAATATTATTATGTTACTTTTTAACCTTTATTTTAATAGTTAATGTTTTGATACAATGGCTTGAAGTCCATTGAATAATTCAAATCACATTTCCTAGTAGGAAAAGTAAGTAGTATGTGATGTGAAATTGAAATAATATGTGTGATTAATTATATGGTAAGTTGAAATATCATATAAGAAATATTGTATTATTTTGGAAAGGATATAGGATTAGTGTGAATTTGAGATTGGTAGAATAATTTTTGATGACATATTAGGAAAATAAGGGAAATATAACATATATATTCTTCTTTGGAAATATAGCATATTAATCAAATAAATACATTAATTACATTAATTAATCATTTATTACAAAAACACCACAAATTGACACGTGGAATTAATTTTATTCAAAAAAAAACCCACAAAATTACATGTGGCAAATGAATGGAAAATGTTGAAGATTAATGTGTTGCGTCTTGGGCCCTTTTGTTTTACAACCGGATTGGGCTTGTCAATCCATGTTTATCTAGATTAGCCCTTTTTCTTTGATAAACGGTTAGGGTTTTATTATAAATATATGCATGCATGTATGCGTATGTAGAAGTTGTCGTCATTCTCATTGATTACTATAAAGCCTAAAATCCTCTACAGTTGATGTTCTTTATCGAGCTCTTCTGAGGATTGTTTATTAATCATTCGACACCTTTTGATCCATTTGCTTGTTCTTATTGTTTATCTGGTTATTTCTCAACCTGTTTTATGGATCTAATCGATCTTCAAGTTTAATTTTAAACTTAACAATTGGTATCAGAGCAGGAGGCTGTGTAATTGATACACTTCTTTTCTGTGAAAAAGCTTCGATTAGGGTTATTCCGCATTCATTGATATTTATTGAGCCGTCATCTCATAATTGACGTATCTCGATATTTATTGTTTTTGCCCTAATTTGATATATTACAAGTCTGATCTTTGAACAGGTTATTCGATCAATTATGGACGAGTCGCAATCCAATCCCATCAATATTTCAAACAGCATTGGATCAACAACGAAGATTCCCATCCTGTACACCCATGATTATGAAGTCTGGGTGAATCACTTTGAAGATTATGTCATAGGATCTGAGGATAATGGATACCTCATCTGGGAAGCAATCATCTCTGGACCTTTTTCTCATTCAGCAACTTCAAGGATTATTAAAACTCAAAAGGAGTATAAAGATCTTCTGAAAGATGTTAAAGATGTAACGCAAGACGAAAAAGTCAAATTTCAGTGCAATATCAAAGCGTTAAGATTGATCAGATTTGCTCTACAATCCGATACTTTTAGGCTGGTAAGTTCATGCACGACTGCAAAAGAGATATGGGACAGGCTACGTGAATTGTACTCTACAGACGAAGATCTTGAACACTCCATTCAAACCTTACTCTTGTCTGAGTTTGGTGAGTTCAAGCAAGGAGCAGAAGAAACGGTGACTCAAACGTTCGATCGCTTCAATCATCTTCTTAGCAAGATGATCAAACATGACATTGAAAGGAAGCTTATTGAACAGAAGGTTACGTTTTTGAATGGACTCAGATCTGAGTGGAGAGCAGTCATGTCCACAGTTAAAGCACATGAGCAATTCAAATCCTATTCTTTGGCAAAACTGGTGGGCATCCTAAAATCTCAAGAAAAGATCGTATTACAGGAGAAAAACGTGGTTTCAGGTCTTGGTTCA